AAACAAAGGGGCCTTATTGAATGACAGAGTTTTCCTGCATAATGTCACTATAAAACAATATCCAGTAAATGCTCCCATGGTACTAAAATACCTAACACCTTCTCTTACTGTTTTATGGTATGGTAAACACAACTATATCTGTTTCAGTATAAGTGCCTTTTGTTTAGATGAACTGCTGGACTTCCAGGCCAGCAGGTTTAGGGAAGTCGTTCACAGGGCCACATCTTGACCCCACACACACACGCACACACACACACACGCCTATACGTACACACAGACAAGGTACTCTTTGTTTACATGTACGCCTATGTAAGATATCCTATGTTAATGAACCTATGCATATTCATGTAACCTCAATAAAGAGCAGTGTTACAAGAGAGCAGACGAGAGAGACTGGGGTGAGCTACAGGAACACGCTTGTCACTGTTCTCTCCCTCGTGCACGAGTAACACAAAGAACTTTGGTGACTTGCGTCTTCCTTCTGCTGTTGTAGTAGAATTGTCTCATTCCAGTGAGGGGTTGTGCTAGACAGACCCATCATCCAGCTTCATGCCGACCACAGCCTTCCTGATCAGTTTGTCCAGCCTGGATGAGTCCTTCTTTGCTGTGCTGCTCCCCCAGCACACCACAGCATAGAACAGCTCTGGCAACTACCGACTGGTAAAACATCCTCAGTAGCTTCGTGCAGATGTCAAAAGACCTCAGCCTCCTGAGGAAGTACAGTCTGCTTTGGCCTTTTTTATACAGGTGCAGCGTGTTGTATGACCAGTCCAAGTTTGTTGTCCACCCACAGCCCGAGGTACTTGTATTTGTTGACCACCTCCACCTCCTCTCCCTCTATCCGAACTAGTCTGGACCTCCCGAAGTCCACAACCAGTTTCTTGGTCTCTCATGTGTTGAGCTGCAGGTGGTTTGAGTGACTCCCATGTGACAAAGTTCCTCGCCAGACTCCTCTACTCCTCTTCCTGGTCATCCCAGATACACCCCATGATGGCCGTGTCGTCCACAAACTTCAGAATATGGCATAATTCAGAGTTATAGCAGAAGTCAGAGGTGTACAGGGTGAAGAGAAGAGGGGAAAGCATAGTTCCCTGTGGTGCCCCTGTGCTGCTGACCACAGTGTCAGATGTGATGACCTTCAGCCTGACGTACTGTGGTCTGTCAGTGAGGTAGTCGGAGATCCAAGCGACCAAGCAGGGGTCCGCCTGCATCCTGTTTAGTTTTTCCTGAAGTAGACGGGGCCGGATTGCATTAAAGGCACTCAAAAAGTCAAAAAACAGGATCCTGACCGTGCCCTTTCCCTTTTTCAGGTGTGAGTGGCCTCTCTGTAGGAGGTACAGGATGGGATCCTCCACTCCGACATCCGACATCAGCTGATTCTACGGGGCTAACTGTGCATTGCTGCGATGCCCTGACATACTTAAACAATGTTAGTCTTCACAAATATGTAACATTTATACATGTCTTAGACTTCAAACCAAAAGGAAAATGCTCACCTGGTAAAGATTATTTGGTGTTTGAAATAAGGTCATTTCAATCACTGTCATAATAATAATGATAATAGTAACATGAGGAGGGCAAGAGAGTACCAAAGCATTCTCAAATATATTATTATGATATATGGATGCAATTACAATAACCTAAATAAAATATAAGAAAAACTTCCTCTTGTTTTTGGTGGAAGATGATTTCTCAGGCGTTTCCAGTTACTGAGGCAGGAATGCATAGCAATGCACTTAACACATATTGGGTCATTCAAACCTGTTGATCCTGTTTCTGGAATCTATCAGAATGTGTCAACCCCTCCTTCTTTTGCTCTCTGTCAAAACTGTAAAACATTCACATGACACTTTGTCTATGGGGAGAAATGGCACAGAAAGGATTTAAAATTGCTGGTGACAAACTCTGCTGCGCGATCTGTTTGGATCTACTGAATGATCCTGTGACTATTCCCTGTGGACACAACTACTGCAGGGACTGTATTAAAATTCACTGGGATGGACAGGATCAGAAGCACATCCACAGCTGTCCTCAGTGCAGACAAACCTTCATACCGAGGCCTGCTCTGGTGAAAAACACCATGTTAGCTGAGTTAGTGGAGGAAGTGAAGCAGACTGGACTGTATGCTGTTCCTGCTACTCACTGCTATGCTGGACCTGGAGATGTGGCCTGTGATGTTTGTAGTGGGAGAAAACTGAAAGCCTTCAAGTCGTGTCTGCACTGTGTGGTCTCTTATTGTGAGCGCCATCTACAGCCTCATAATAATGTAGATGGATTGAAGAAACACAAACTGGTCAACCCATTCAAGAAGCTTCAGGAGAACATGTGCTCTCACCACAATGAGGTAATGAAGATTTTCTGTCGCACGGATCAGCAGTGTATCTGTTATTTGTGCTCCATGGGTGAACATAAAGGCCACGACACAGTCCCAGCTTCAACAGAAAGAACTGAAAAGCAGAAAGAGCTGAAGCCGTGTCTTGAAAATTTTCAACTGAGAATTCGGGACAGAGAAGAACATGTTAAGGTGTTTCTGCAGGAAATGGAGGCCATTAGTGAGTCTGCTGATAAAGCTGTGAGGGACACTGAGAAGACATTTGAACAACTTTTCTTTCTCATCAAGGAAAACATTTCTGATATCCAGCAACAGATCAGATGCCAACAGAGAACTGAAGTAAATCGAGCTAAAGAGGTTGTGGAAAAACTGCAGGAAGAGCTCAGTGAACTGAAAAGGAAAGATGCTGAACTGGAACAGCTCTCTCACACAGAGGATCACACTCAGTTTCTACACATGTTCCCTTTGTTCTCAAATTTTACTGAATGTACAGAGGTACCTTTTACTAAACGTCATCCTCTGCTGTACTTTGATGATGTGCCGGCTGCTGTGTTAGAGGTGAAAAATAAACTGCAGGATGATCTTCAGGAAGGATGGCAAAAAGTTTCCCGCACAGTGACTGATGTAGACGTGTTGCTACCTCAACCAGAGCCACAAACCAGAGCTGAATTCTTGAAGTTTTCAACTCAGCTCACACTGGATCCAGACACTGTAAACATGCGGCTGTTATTATCTGAAGAGAACAGAAGGGCAACATTTGTGAGTAAAAAACAGGCATATCCAGGTCACCCTGAAAGATTCATGAACAGGTCGCAGGTCCTGAGCAGAGAAAGTCTGACTGGATGTCATTACTGGGAGGTAGAGTGGAGTGGGTTTGGTATTTACATAGCAGTCGCATACAAAAGCATAAGCAGAACGGGAGATCAAAGTGAATTTGGAAACAATAGTGAGTCTTGGGCATTAGACTGTTACAGTAGTAATTATTCACTCAGTCATGGAAAAAATTGTTATAGGTTTACAGGCCCTGTGTCTTCCAAAATTGGAGTGTACCTGGATCACAAAGCAGGTATTCTGTCCTTCTATAGTGTCTCTGGCACCACAACTCTCCTTCACAGAGTCCAGACCACATTCAATCAGCCGCTCTACGTTGGACTGAGGGCAAGTCACTTCTTAGGATCAGACTCCTCTGCTGTGTTTGTCTGAGTTTGAGTAGGGAGAATCAAGTAATTACTTTGTGCTTTTCTTGTGCATTTTTTTTAAAAAATTAAATATATAGCCCTTGTTAGGTTGCACCCTGGAATGTTAAAGAGGATATGGACAAAATACATTTGCATGCAATAAAATAATTAACAAAAATGTCATGCTTTGACCAGAGATTTTAAATTGAAAAATTTAAATTTCATTTTCTGTATCTTTTAAACAATATTTTGCTCATCATTACAGTTTTTCATTGATGAAATGCAGTTCATTTTATTTTGTTCCATTTTTAACTCGTAAATATTTTCATAAAATGTTGTAGTAATGTATCCACAAGTTGATCACCATCATTAAATAAATTTGCTTTAAAAATGTGTTTCTTAAATGAAGTATGTGTGTCTGTTTATTTAGAACCATGAGTATTTTGTTCCATGTTTTGAATAACCAGTGGAGTTTTGTTGTTTCATTTTCTTTATTCATGCTTCTAGTTGCTCCATAGCATAGTGGTTTCTTGTTTGGCGAACGCATAGCAATACAATGGAGCCTGAACTTATCATCTTTTTTTTTTTGACATTTAAGTTTTTTATTGATTTTGCATCATATACTTAAACCTGTATAAGAGGGAGAAAAACAAAAGAACAAAACAAACAAACAAACAAAACAAAACAAGAAAACTGCTGGTGTGCACCCCTGCCCTTACAAGTCTAAAAGAAAGAAAAGAGAAACTAACTAACAGTGGGTTCCAAGAGAAGAAACACAGAAATGGGCAAATAAAATTGACGTTAAAGTAACATTTGGACCAGTGGCCACAGTTAATAGTCCTTCAGATTATGATAATATGGTCATGATTTCCTGTTTGCTTCAGATAGCTCCAAAAGTAGTCCCAATGTTCATCTTTGTCTTCTGTATAATTTTTAAGTTTATTCAGCATGGACTCATAGGAAGCAGTCTCTGCCATTGCTCTGATCCAGTCTTTCAGTTCAGGACGTACTGTAGTCTTCCAGTGTCCAAGGATAATCCTCGATGCAGTTACCAACCAACCATAACAACCGTAAAAATATTATTATGAATTCTTGGAATATGAGAACGGTCTCCTAACAAGCACAATTCAGGAGTTAAGGGCACTTCTAATCCTGACCAACCTTTTAAAAGTGTGACGACTGCAGTGGTTATGATTATAGGGAACATTCCCAAAAACAATGTAGGAAAGTCCCCGCCTCAATTTTACATTTCCAACAGAGATAGTCAGCCATAAGCTTCATACGGTGTAATCTTGTTGGAGTATGATAATATCTATGCGGAATTTTACATTGTATGCATTTGCTCCTCGCCTCCTTAACATAAATCCCATTTTCCGCCAAAATGCCCATCCATTTTTTGTTTGGAATTGGTGCATTTAAATCTTTCTGCCACAAAGTTTTACTATTGGAACATTCCCCACTTCTATTATCATTTACCAACCTATAAAAACATGATGCTGTGTGGTGCTCCTGAGGCATATTTATAAAATTTAGAACTAGATTTTCATGTCCCCTTCTGAACTTCAACGTCATACAATGTCTAATTTGCAAATATCTCCAGAAATTTTCCCTTTCAATTTGTATGTTTGAACAAGGTCTCTATAGGTCATAAATTCCCCATCTTTAAATAAGTCGCTAATAACATTTATGCCATGAGACTGCCACAATTTCCAAAACACAATTTTTTCCCTATACGAATAGCTGGATTGTTTCAAAGAGATGAGTAAAACTGCACATGAGGTGATATTTTAAGAATTCTATGTATATTGAGCCAAACCTGGGTAGAGTGAAACAACATTGGGTTCGTTGAAGTGCAGCTTTGAGACAACATACCTTTTGGATCGAAGGGAGTATAAATTTCAGACTCTATACTTAGCCATTCCTGTCTGGCTTGATTTCCCCCCCAGTAATTAACCAATTTTGCCACCTCGAATGAGACTGAACATAATCTTGGATCGGGTAAACTTAAACCACCCTTCTCTCTAGGAGCATATAATTTACTTAGCTTGATTCTTGCCCTTTTCCCATCCCACAGAAACTGCTTAATTAAGTCTTCATACTGTTTAAAGAAACCAGGCGGTATCGCAATTGGTAACATCATTACTACATAGTTAAATTGGGGAGCTATAATCATTTTTACAAAATTTATTTTGCCCCACAATGAGATTTTTAATTTGGCCCATTTTTCTATATTTGTTTTTATTTTTAGAAGGACTGGGTCAAAATTAAGTTGGGGGTAGGTCCTCCATATCTTGGCTTAGCCTAATCCCAAGATACTTCATCCCTCTAGGCACTCATTTAAAATTGAATTTTTCTACCATGTACGGATAGCATAGTGGGGATAGTGGCATTACTTCAGACTTTCCCCAGTTAATAGTATAACCTGACACCTCAGAGAACGCCTTTATGGTGTCCATTAAATGCGGCACTGATAAAAGTGGGTCTGTTATAATGGCAAGAATATCATCAGCATAGAGGAGGAGTTTGTGTTCCTGCTGCCCACCTATGACACCTTTAATCTCCTTGTTTGATCTGATACTCACTGACAATGTTTCTATAAAAACTAAGAACAAAAGGGGGCTTAAAGAACAGCCCTGACGAGCTCCAGGTGACAAACTAAAGAAGGGTGAAACCATACCATTTGATATTACCACCGCCTTTGGTTCTTTGTATAGCACTTTAACCCAATTAAAAAGTGTGGACCAAACCCGAACCGGAACAAGGTTGAAAAAAGAAAGCTCCATTCAACTTTGTCAAAAGCCTTCTCCTCATCTAAGGAGAAAGCTGCTATTGAAGTATCTTTAGACCGGCTCAGCCACATCAAATGGAGTAGCTTTCGAATGTTATCTGAGGAAGAGCGTGTTTTCATAAATCCAGTCTGATTTGGATGTATGATGATACCCAGAACTTTAAGGCTAGAACTTTTGTAAGTATTTTGCAGTCCAAATTCAATAAGCTTATTGGTCTGTAATTTGATGGATCTGTATTGTCTTTATCTTTTTTTGGTATTAGTGATATCAGTGCCTCATTAAATGTAGCTTCAGGGTTCATACACCTTTTTCAGGGTCAAATTCAAGCATTTTCTAAGCACTTTCAAGGTCCCTTTTCAAGCTTTTCCAGCACATTCCCCTCCGCACAAAAAGAAAAGGATGCATGTTTCAATTCGCATCACCTCAGTGAGACCATGTGAAAAAACACTTTTGTTCCCCTTTTGTTAAGACGTAGAAAAACGAACCACACAAAAATACTGCAAAAGGAAACGGTCGCCTTATATACATAGTGTATAAACTCAAAATGCACATTTCACTTAAAAATTAAGATGTGAAAATGTGAACAAATCAACTTGTCAGAGATATTCTTCTCCTGTTGAAAAAAACAAACAAAAAAGAAATAAATAAGTCTTCTCATCAGATATTGATGCTTCTTTCCTGTGTGACGAAAAAAAAGGAGACATATGTTTGTTTGTTGTTTGTTTGTTTTTTAAGTTAATTCCCAATAAAACTGTTTTATTGCCAACTACAGGGTGGGCCATTTATATGGATACACCGTAATAAAATGGGAATGGTTGGTGATATTAAAGTCCTGTTTGTGGCACATTAGCATGTGTGAGGGGGCAAACTCCTCAAGATGGGTGGTGACCATGGTGGCCACTTAGAAGTCGGCCATCTTGGATACAACTTTTGTTTTTTTCAGTGGGAAGAGGGCCACGTGACACATCAAACTTATTGGTAATGACAAAAGAAAAACAATCGTGTGCTTGGTTTTAACGTAACTTTATTCTTTCATGAGTTATTTACAAGTTTCTCTTTGTTCACAGCCATTGACATGTCGAAGAGGTTAACACGTGAGGAGCGGATCGAAATTGTGTTGATATCTGGTGAA